AATTATTTTCTGTAACCATTCAATTCAATTCCTACAATAACTTTATATTATACACTTCACTGTAGCAAATCACTTAAAATTTAATTTTTGATAGACAGACAGACATATAGGTAAATAGATAATGTTTTTGTAAATTTAAGTTTTCAATGATTTTGAATTATTTTCTGTAACCATACACGACATACAACCCTTAGAAACATCTTTCCTGATGACAACACTTAAATAAGTATGCTTTTAACTAGCTAAACATTACTTCTACTTAATGCTACTTATAGAACTGGGTAATTATGTTGATTAATCAATATAACCAATTACCTATGAGCATGGGTTAAATCAGTCATTTATAATAAAGAACCTCCCCTTTGAAATGTGTACTAGCTATTTATTTCTAGTGCATTCTAAGTTTCACTAGTAAAACTACAACACTAACCAGCAGTTTGCTAGTGTTAAGTTTGAACCCTGAGTATACTTGTTTCTAAGAACATAACTAATACAACTCATACTATGACAAACTTTGGTATCTTTAAAAGTTGTCTTTACAAATCAATAATTCAGATGTTCAACATCAGAACAAAACTTACTCTTTCAAACATATTATTTGAATTATAATAATGCTTTCAATTAGTTTTGTATAACTTTATACTATATGTTGAAAAAAAAAGTCATAGTAAGAAGATAAACTTCAGACAAAAGTTTGAGTTTTAAACTTTAACCCAGATTATAAAGTATTTTATGTGTAAGTAACCATCAGAAATTATGTTTCTCATAACCCAGATTATAAAGTATTTCATGTGTAAGTAATCATCAGAAATTATGTTTCTCATAACCCAGATTATAAAGTATTTTATGTGTAAGTAACCATCAGAAATTATGTTTCTCATAACCCAGATTATAAAGTATTTTATGTGTAAGTAACCATCAGAAATTATGTTTCTCATAACCCAGATTATAAAGTATTTTATGTGTAAGTAACCATCAGAAATTATGTTTCTCATAACCCAGATTATAAAGTATTTTATGTGTAAGTAACCAT